GTGGGGGCAGCCCTGTTTGTGGCTTACTCCTGATTGGCAGGGAAGTGAAAACCATGGTTTTAAACATGGCACCATTTTTGCCTCCCCACCGCTGACTGGCCAACAGGCCCCGGTGGCCCTGCTGCTTGCTGCTGACCAGCAGGGAGGCAAAAATGATGCCATGTTTAAAACCATGGAGAGGGCTGCCTTTTATGTGGTCCTCACCCCTCACCACTGATTGGTGGAGAGGGGCAGAGCCACACAAAAGGCAACCCTCTTGGCCAATCAGCAGTAGAGGGAGGAGGGGCAGCCCCCATCTTGACCATACTTCTTTGTGCCTATAGCTTTTCCCCCACCCTTGGTGGCTGCATGGCTGAGCTTCAATGGCTGCTGGCTTCTACTGGGGACCAGCATTTTATTTTTAGGAAGTTTTTTTTGGTGATTCCATGCAAAATCACCAGTTTTCACAGTGATCACAGAAACTGCTTTTCACGGTTTCTGTGAAAATTGTGAAATTATGAACTGAGTAGATTCCTAGCTATGATGCTTTTTGAAGCTCAGGCTGGGGAGGATGTATGTTCATGTTACCATTTTTATTTCTTGCAATAAATGTGAGCCCTCTAGAGCAGTGGTGTCCAACCTTATGCCCCCAGAGCTGGATGAGTGCCACTGAGTTGATCCATGGACTAGATCCTGCATGAGGTCAGTCTGCAAGTGCAATTCTGCACACTGACCCTGCCCTGCACACATTGGATCCAGCCTTGAAGCAACCCTGTGCACTGGCCCAGCACCGGCATGGTCTGGAACACAAGCCCTCAGTATCCAGCCTCCCACAGGTCAGGAAATTTGGCCCAGTATCCAGGGCTCCCCACAGGTCAAGAAATTTGGCACCAGGGGAGTGGAAATTAACACTGCTGCTGCTCTCCTGCTGCCATATTTTCACACTTATGGGGAACCCCATGCGCCAAGTGACAACTCCACAGGCCAGATCTGGCTTGTGGGCCAGAGATTGAACCTACTGGTCTAGAGAAGCCCTTGCTAATTTTGTCAATTTACTAGATTAAAGGCAGTGCAGAGATCTCCCATGATACCCCATAAGGAAGGAATTGGGCTGTATGCTGCCTGACACAACTACCAAAAACTGAGGGGTTTGCTCCAGTACAGGCTATAGGTCATGATTTTGTAGTGGTCAGCCAGATTGGCCAGCATACATGAAGAATCCTGCCCAGCATGTATGCCACCCTTGGTGCCCCTGGAGTTGTCCTTGAAATGCCTCTGTTCCTGGACTACAGCTCTACTCTCTGCTCCTCTTAGCAGACTTCTGGCCACAGGAGCCAACTATGAATTTGAGAAATCTGTGGCTCTCCATGGACCCCTGTCATTTCCCTCACATCACCTTCCCAGAATGGTCTACTTGAAGTGAAGCCTGTCTCAGAACCTCCCCTGCACAGAGGACATGGGAGACGTCATCTTGGATGGACTCCCAGGCAATGGCACCAGTATACATTTCTCAGCTTTGAAAATGACACTTTAATGACAGCTCTATTATGAATTTACCCTAGGACTCCTCAATCTTTATTCTACTTCTGCTTTTACCAGGATGGATAATGGGAGACAGAAATAAATAGGACAAAAAGATGCAACACGTAAGCATTCCTGAAGACCACTGCTACCTAATCATGAGTCAAGAGCACAACTTATACTCATGAGAGCTATTCAAAGTTCAGTAAGTATGGCCAGGTTTCAGCCAAGAAACAAACACTGAGCAGGTCTACACGTTCATTAATGCACTACAGGTAAACCTCCATTGTGAGGTACTAGAAAAAGGCACATTAGCCTATTTTAATGCACATTAGCTAAAGAGCACAGTTTTTGAGACCTTTAATAAGCATTAAAAATAGGATAATGCACATTAAAGTGCACATGGAGATGTGCCCACATTGTCATCACTATAAATCCAAGGGGATTATCCATCCCTCCAGGCTGTAAATAGTGGTGCTTCCTGATGATCAGAGTTTTAGAAACAGAAGGTGACTGCTGTAAACCAGGATGAGCAGGGTCACAGTAAACAAAGGTACAATCACAAATGCCTCCCTTGCCATTCAGAAGTAGTGGCAGGCCACTGATACTAATGTGGTGCTTATGCTCTAGTGCCATATACTGTAGAAAACAAACTACCTCATACTAAACAAAAGAGATGGTTCTGATAATGTATCAACTGTCATTTTGATCATCACTGGGGGACTGAAACTGCAGAGCTAAATGCACAAATCCTTACAGCTGGGGAATACGGTGAAAAATCTCATTGATGGCAGTGGGTAATGGACTCGGCTGTTAATCCCCTGTCTGTTGCAGACACATATCTTATGTGATCCAGGCACAGAAGGGGACACATAGCAACTTGTGAACATGGAGATCTCCCCTTTTATAGCAGCCCTCCCTTCCCTTTCTATTTAAGATGAATCCTCTTAGCTTCCTCAACAAGCATACAAGATGTACTACAGATGCTCCTCTAATGTGACATGAGACTGGGCTAAGGGATATTAAGAATCAAAGGAAGTTATACAATGGACTTTTAGCCTTGCAGCTTGGAGAAAAGAGACAACTGAAGTGGTCTTATGGTGTCAGCCAGGTTTGCCACAATAAGCTCTGAATGGAGGTGACATATTAATACTGGCAGTGCTGATGTACCAGTAGCAATTAAACAATCATAAAACTATAACAATCTTCTTACCCAGATATCTTAATAGGAAAATAAGTGGTCTGAGCACCATGATGAATGTTCTTTATGCTACAGGCTAACAAAACTCCCATAACTCTCTTCTAATACATGGTGCTAGTTCTCTATGGCAACGTTTAAAGACGGTTTGATAGAGAGGCTTAAAAAGCATCAGAAAAATCTGTCTTCACTAAGTAGTAGCCTCATAAGTGGCTTTTAAATCTCTTGGGCAGGCCATCTTGAAAGCTGGAGTATTTATGAATACATTTAAAGGCACTAAATTGAATTCAGGCTGATAGCTTTGGGCAGAAAATACCACCTTTTAAAATGGATATACATTACAGTAAGATACAGATTTATCGTGTCCTAAATTATGTAAAACCTGTAAATCCTTAAATGAGGCTGAGTCACATACTAATAAGACCTGCAGCAGAGGCATTATTCTAAATGGTTTATTCATCTTTCATACCTATCATCCTATTTGAGCACTGATGAGCCTATGATTTGCTTGTTTCCCTCAGCCACCTGTTGCCACTTTTTACATTATAAACATTTGGGAGGAAGGGCCTATCATTCTCTGTATGCTTGATCTGTTGTGTTTTTTTTGAGCTCTCTGCAACAGAAGAATTTCTCTAGTATGTTTCTGTAGTCAAAAATCAAGTATAAAGTAAGGGTAAGTGTACATGTGTTTGTAATCCCAGTAGAAACTCTACCAAATTGTAGTTGATTTAGTTTTCTCCCTGAACCACTATTTTTGTTCTGGAAAAACTGTGAACATTTGTACAATTAGGGCTTCTACTGTGCGAACTGCAGGATTCTCCCAATAGAAATGTAATGCTTGTACCCACCTGAAGAGCGGGCATTTTCCAAGGGGTGCCTTAAGTCTAACATGGATACATTGAGTCTTTAAAAGGTTGAGAATCACTGATCTAGACTCACAGCAAATGTTAACCCAGCTGTAAGTGGGTACTTGGCCATTCAGGTTTGGAAGTCAAAGATGGCTGAGAGTTACATGGCTCATTTGTGTGCCACTGGCTACAGAAAATGGTGCATCTGAACCAATGTCTCCCTTTTGGGCTGTTAGGGTCAGTAGGACTTTTGGCCTTGTTTAATAAATAGACGTTCCACACAAAACCCCTACAGAACAGGACATGCTTTAGAAAAGGACCGGGCAGCCCTGTTGTCCTTCTGTTGTACCATCATCAGAAGACTGGGCACTGGAGCTGACCAAGACCAAGGGTACATTGGAAGAGACATGTTTGATCTCTGAGTAAAAGAGGAAGCAGCTGAGGATGTTCATAAGCAGTCCCTGCTGTTTACTTATGCAAGCATGGAGAAGGGTAGGAAAAGGCAAAATATCTGTCTCCTTAGCTGGAGGGTACAAATGATCTAGAATTAAAAAATGCTATTCGCAAGGAATGAAAGAGTCCTGATACAGAGTGTAAGAAACTACCTAGATCCTGGGAAGATGGGCTTGGCAGCCTCAGTTCTCAACTGCCAGGAAGACAGAGACAAGTGCCATCAGAAAAGCACCACAAAATTGGAATAGAATCTGAGCAATAAGCATGTTATAAGCCACATCTCAACTGCCCTGGTAAGGTGAAATTGATGACACAGGGAATAGTATGCATGGTGGAAGATTAGAGAACTGAGGAAAATGTCTTTTCAAACCAAATTCCCTCACGCTTGAAGAACAGTGGGTGCGTACATGAATCGCTACACTGCCATAGTGATGAGCATAGCAATGTAGCTCATTGCTATGGCCACGTAGCATCAGCAGGCATGAACCGGGATGCTGCCACTACAGCACAGTAGCAACAAGCTACTGGGTAGTAGCATCAGAAACGACCTGTGCAGCGCCAGGACTGTGCAGTAATGATTGCACAGTCAAGCACACATGTAAGTAGCAGTTTAGAGTTTCAGTGTAACAATATTTCCTGATTTCATTGCTGTGAAACTGTAAAGCCTTTCCTATCAGATGACAGTGCTGATGCTACGTGGTAACAGAATAAGGAACAGAATATATGGCAATAACTTCCCATATACACATCTCCTATAAAACTTGCCAACCTTGTTATGATTTATGATTGTTTATCATTCTGTGCACTAACAACGTTGGAAACTGTTGACGCTGTATTCAGAGGAAGTCACCCTGCTGGTTTACTGAAATTTTTTCTGGTACATCCATAATTCTCACTTTGTAATAGGTACTGCTCTTTTAGAAGGTGTACACTCCTTTAATGGTTGTTGTATTTGGCTGTTATTTGTAATGTATCCAAAGGCTTCAGAAATCTTTTCTTTCTTATAATTAGACACTTAACTCCAGATACTGTGTCACAAGAGAGTGATAATGATCTGTTTAAAAGTTTCTGTTCAGTCAGAATAAATACCAGGGGCTGTGAAGTTATTGCTCTTTTGTCCCATTAAGCAAAATGGTTCTAGGTAGCTTGCAGTCCTTATGGCCAGGCATACACATATATCCACAGTCCTTTAAGTATGCTGTGGCGAATAATGAAAATGTGATGCTGTCTTACCTGTTCATTAGAAAAAGTTAATCACCTTAGGGTAGTTCCATATATATATATCAGAATATTGGCTTTAGTTTGTCACATCTGCATAGACAGCATGTGGACAGGAAGCTTACAAAAAGAGCTTGCCCAGTGCTTCATTCTTTGAAGTGTGAGCTACAGGTAAGATCAATTCCATCTAATCCATCCCTGACAAATATTTATCTAAACTCTACTGGAGGTCTTCTAATCCAAGTAATCAATTCTAGAGAATAACACCCCTCCTAGGGGTCTTCCTCTTATCAACTGAAATTCCATAGCTTCAAAGTAGGGCTTTGGTTGCAAATGTATCAGCAAGAAGTACCATCTCACCCCAGATGGGACCTCAAATCCATACTCTCTGGTTTAGGAAGCCAGGGTGCTGATGAAAGTGACATTTTGTTATGCTATTGCCCCCCTGAAAGTGCTCTATAGCTGTGTCCTCACAGAAGTGCATGGCTGCAGAGCGCTTTTAAAGTACTCCTTCTGAGCACTAGCTGAATAATGTTTACTGCTCCCAATTTTGCTATGTACCTACTCTCCCAAGGTGAATGGTAAGCTAGTTGTGCAATTCTTCAATTTATATTTCATTTCCCTTCTCTGAATCACAGTTCAAGTCCCTTTTAGTTGTACCATTGATACCAGCACAGTACTCTAACTACAGATAGTTCTAACTTAAAAACAAAAATACATCAATCCTGTATAATGGATAGGATTCAGTTTACATGCCGGATATGCACTTATTTATTCTGCAAAAAGTACTGGAAGCTAGCTCCTTTTTAAATATATATGTATAGATTCTGATTTTCTTTTTTAAATGAGTTTTTTGTTTCTCAGTGCATCAGTACCATATGCTAATGTGTCAACAGCATCAGAATACTTGGATTAGTCTAGAATACTATGATAGGGCTCCAGTGATGAATGCATCCTGAGACCATCAACTCCCACTCAAATCAAAGGGAGATGGAGACAAATCAGCTGCTGTCTAGGGAGACAGACTGGATTGGTATTTATTCTTTAATTCACTGGATGAAACATCCATGTGCATCAGTCCTGGGTACCATTTTGGGTACCATTTTAAGGTCCCCCTTAAGCCTTTGGAACTGCAGTTACAATGGACTTAAGCAGTGCAGAAATCTGGTTTTGGTCCTGTGCACAGGGGTGAATTTCACCTGCTATGAACAGCTAAAGTTGGCTGCTTTATCCATTTAAAGAGAATTCTCATCCCTCAGTGATTTGCATGGATCGTCAAGAGGCTCACCAGGAAATGCATGACACTTTGCAGGGATCTGGCTTATTTTGTACTGAAGAACAGACATGCTAAGGCTGAAGTTCTAACCATGTCATACTTACATCATATAACTAGAAACCACAAAACATATCTTGAAAAAAACAGGGGTGGTAGACTTGTGTGTGTGTGTGTGTGTGTGTGTGTGTGTGTGTACACACACACACACACACACACATCTAGGTATACAAACTTCTGTTCATTGCAAACTGGAAATTCTATAAGCCACTGCCTGCAATAGCATCCATCCTAAAGGTAACCCGAGAGATGACTCTTAAGAGACTGAGGAGATAGGATTGTGAGGTGAGCCCATCTGTGTTAGCACCTTATCCAGCCATTGTAATGGTCCATGCAGATGGATCTCAATCCAGCAGGGAGTGCTTGTAACATCCTGGCGATGATACTCTGCTCCCCAGCCCTAAAAACATATCAAAGGATCACATGTGAGTTTTTTTTGAAATATCAGTTCTGTCACTGAAGGATTGATCCCTCCCCACCCCTGACTGCAGTCACTGCAAAAGGGCCCCTGACTTTAACCAAGTGGCCAGCATTTAATACATTTTCTTAGGAACAGTTTTTGAAAGAAGCTGGAAATCTTGGATCTCTCTGGGCTACAGGCTATAGCTGTCTGTGTGTGCTGGGGAACTTAAGAATATTAGTGACATGACTAATAGTCCCATGACTCAAACACTTGAATCCTATGAGGCTCCGAGGGCCTTCTTTGATTTAAATTCAATACATTTATGCTCTTTCCTGTTTGAGGTGGGGGCCTTTCCCACCTCAAACAACCCCCATTTCTCCAAAGGAAATAACCCCTCTAGTGGGAAGACTTAGTGGCTTTTTATTTTGGGAACTTCAAAGTAATCTCTGCATCTTTTTCCAGCAGATAAGGATATGGTGCTTCTGGCTCCTCTGCTTTTCTGTGAGGTCAGAGGCTTTCTCTACTCTTTGCCTCTCTGCTAGGGAGGGGAATACTTTGGGCTTCCCCATGTTGTTACATGCCCCCTCCCTTCACCTCCTGCTCTGCATCACTGTTTCATTGTATTATACATTTTCCATTCCCTTCTATCTCCTCCACCCCTGCACATTCGTCCTGAAAGAAGAGTGATGGGACACATGCACCACTACTCCTCAGTTTTCCAAGACTGCATCAGAAAGCAGAGACATGGCTGAGTAGGGAGAGGAGACACACTCGAAATTAGAGGTGCACCAATACATCAGTCCCATATTCTATCGGCACTGATAGAAGGAAAATTGACGTTATCAGCAATCGGCTTTTTTTTGGCTGATGTGGTTGATAATGTCACCAATAAATGCCTCGTGCATGCGCACAGCTGCAGCACAGCATGCAGGAGGCCAGTAGCGCAGCCCAGCAGCATGGAGAGCAGCGTCCAGCTGGTCTGTTGTGGAAGAAGAGGTAGGGGAGGGAAGGGACACGGGGGGGGGTGCAGATTGAAGCACCTGTGGTGAGGGAGGGGCAGGGGCAGGCACTGCTTAGCTGGGGTGGGGTGCAGGACAACGCTGCAAGCAGCTCATCCAAGGGGCGCGTGGTTCCCATCACTGCACGCACTCTGGAAGGGCATGGGGGGCATGTGCCCCCCAGATCTATGTGCATGGTGAGGGAGGGCTGCCCACCGTGAGGTGGAGCCAGGGCTGTGCCAAGCTCTTTTTGGTGGAGGGCTTGGGCCAGGGCAGGTAACGGTGACGCAGGGAGGGGAACTACAGCTATCCCAAAATTCGATGCAGCCCCCGCTCCCAGTGCTGCTGCCCACTCCAAACACAGCCCTGGCCCAGCCCCACCACTGGGAAGAGCCTGACATTAGCCCTGGCCCCGGGCTGCAGCGGCAGCCTGCCCTCACCCCATGCACAGATCTGGAGGGCACACGGTCCCCATACTCTCCTGGGGTGCAGGCAGTGGTGGGAGCCACCCCCTTTCCATGCCCCCGAGATGAGCTGTGACTCAGTCCTGCGCCAAGCCCCAAGCACCTGCCCCTGCCCCAGCCCCACTCTCTCCCTCACTGCAGGGACCTCAATCTGCTCCCTCCATGCTCCTTTCCTCCTCCCCACCCCTTTCCCCACAACAGACTTACCAGCCAGATGCTTCTCTCCAAGCTGCTGGGCCACATATCGGCAGTTGGCCAATATGGCTTGTTAAAAATTGGTTATCGGTATCAGCCCCTAAAATCTCTATCGGTACACCACTACTAGAAATCTTAGGCCCCCTACCAGCTCTTCAAAGTGGACCCTTTTAGCTCAAGGCCATTCTGTCAACTGTCCAGTACTCTGACTGGGACTGAGAGAAGTTGATAATGCACAGTACTACTGCACCAACTAGGACACTTGGCACCTATGTTTCAAAGGGTGCAGAAATGTACCATTATTGTGTAACTAACTGAATGAAATAAACCACAACATTCACCATGAAATTCAGGACAGTTACTGCTACCCCTAACTCAGCCCAGTCATAGTAGACTCAACTCCATCATCCTGAGTGGGTTATATTACATTTGACTCTGCAAGTGAGCTCCTGATTTCATAGATGTTCAATGGCTTGAAGGTTTCAACCATGCTGCTAGGCATTATCAGGGCCAGGAGCAGCACTCAGTTGTCCATGAGACCAAGGACCAAGTAAGGTACTTCTCAGCACAGTACAACTGATAGATTAGCTCTTTAGTTAGTAGGTCTCTGAGCAGAGAAGCTGAGGTCTTACCTCTGTTCCTTCTGATCAGGCAAGCTAATAATTTGGCCATCACCAAAGAGACTTTGTTGTAATTGTGGGTAATTTTTACAGGCAAAGGTATAAGACAGTGGGCTGCCTTGTAATCAGTCTGACTTCTAAAGAAGTTTTAGCAGTCTCAGATATGTACATTAGTTCCAGACAGCTTATGTTTAATGTTCTGAAAAGTATTCATGAAGACACTGCTCTTTATGAGTTGCAATTTTTTTTCTAAGGCTTTCACATTTGTAATAATGGTATATTCTAAAGCTCTGTACTAGTCATATGTTGTATACCTGTTAAATCAAGAGGTGCACAAACAGTAGGGACATGCCACAAGTGTTGGAGCTTCTTGTTTTATTGACAGCACTGACAATCTGAGGGGAGAGAATCCAAGGTTGTAAATGTCACCTGTGGGCCCAATTAACTTGGTGCATGGAACAGTCACTAACAATGCAGTTAATTAGCTGTCAGGCCTCATTCAGTGGCTACACATTGCCCTCTGCTGGTAGCTCCAAGATAGGTTCAGGCTCCCACCAATTGTTTTGAGCTGACATGGTTGTAAGTGCTGTAGACTGGAGCCCACAGAGGCTGAATGGACAAGTATGGGTGACTTTGACTGTCTCTTTATCAAAGTTACCCACTCTCTGCTGCTGCTATTAAATCAGACCTTCTGGGGCAGCAGATAAATCCTTGATTCTTGTTAAGGAGGAGCTTTCTGTAGTGATTAGAAAGGCAATAGACTCAGCATTAGAGGTACATTCTGTCCTTTTTATTCCATACCACCCAGCACTGCTGGGGCTACCAGTAATCTAGGGAGGGCCCTCAGGCCAATATTTCAGTACAGGAATCTGCAAACAAGGAACACAACAAGGCTCCTTACTGGTGCTGCACAAAGGTATAAAGCAGCAGCCCCTCCCTGCACCTGCTGACAATAGCGGCCTGCGTGAAGGGAGCCAGGGGCTTGGCTAAGCTTCCAGATCAGCCTGCTATATAGCTCCTGCAAGCTGTGAAGCACCCATAAGAGTATGGTCAATAAGCACGCCCAAGACATGGAGCTCTAGGCACGCTCCTAGCACCACTCTGATGGCACCTCCATTACACCCTTTTGGCATGTAACACACACAGAGCAGGTGTGCTGTGCTTAACTACTGTGTTCCCTAAGGCAGTCCTCTGATTATCATCCTGTCCTATGTGTGTCTCCCTAGCCCTGCAATTGAACAGGAGATCAGAAAATCTGGGTTCTGTTTCTGCTCAAAGATCCTGATGTGCTTTGGGATCTTGGGCATGTCACGAAATTGCACTCTGTTGCCATCAGCACAACAACAATACCGTTTACACATTGTGGTAAGTATTATAGGACTGGTGGATGAAGTGGCTGCTATAATTAGCAATATTTGAGGGCACCAGAGGTTGGGATCCACCCTAGAACAGGGGCAGAGAGGCTCCTTTCATCCTCTGCTAAGTTCTCTACGCCCGTGGAAGACAGGCAAAGGTTTTCCCTAATGTAGGCAAAAATGACCCAATGAGCTCAATGAGGCTAATGAGACTTGCAGGGCAACTTGTCAACGATCAATTACAGAAAAAGGTATTGAGGTTTATCAATTTGAAAAGATTGGCAAAGGAGCCCTCTCACACTGGAGATAGGGAACTAAAATTGTGATTGAGTTTGCAATTGTTTCAACAAAGCAAGAAGATAACATGGTAGCAGTTTGGTTCAGATGTCAATACAACAGCTTTCCTTGCCACTCTGTCTTCAACTGAAGATAAGACATCAAAGAGGGCCACAGAGTTACTGAGATAATGAAGGTGCTGTATAACTAGCTACACTTCCTTTAGAAACAGCATGTCCATTCATGTCTTCCATTAAAAGGAACACTGTGTTTTCTACTATTGTTTGCATTGAACAAGGCACTAATTCCTTCCTCAACTAGATCAAAGCACAGCAGTGCAGGGCATCGGTTGGGAGACTTTGGCTTCGACTCTTGGGAAAAGTCATGTGAGATTTTTAATGTCCACAAAGAGCAGACATGACTTTGCTTCTCAAGGTCTGGTGGGAATGATTAACATAATGAGTTCCTTGCAACTCAGTGCGTGTGTTTACATGTGCAATTAATTTGAAGCAATAAACTCTGGAGCAGTTTGAGCCAGAGCTACACATGCACCACACATGTGCCCCAGATGGCAGCAATTTGAAGTGGGGCAAAGCAGTTTATGCCAGGGATGCTCCTGCCCACTCTGCATAGACAGCATGTGGCTCCAGGCTTTGGGTGGTGGCATCAGGGCTAGCAGGCACATGAGAATGCTGAAAGTGCAGAGCCATGTGGCTAGGCAGTAGGCAGGAGTCTGGCCCCCTGCTGTCTGGGCTGACAGGGCACAATTTATGCACGCAGTCAGTGTCTAACCATGCATTTAATCACTCTTAATTACTCCACCATAACATAGTACTTTTGGGTACAGTGCTATCTTACAGCAGTGTTAATTAGTTTACTATGGCCTAATACTGTCACAAATGTATATGGTGAAAATTTACTCCAGTTAATTTATCTGCTCTGCAGTAAAGCATATGTGTAGACGAGGCCAGTTTGTTTATATTGGGCCTGTCAAGATTCAAAGCTGTGATGTGGGAACATTTAGGCCTTTCATGCCCGATTCTTGGCCATAAAAACCTCACTCCCTTTGGAATAAATAGAGTCAGCTTGTTTCAGTCATTTGTACAGAACATTTTCTGATATTAGTCTGCAAGAAGCTGTGTATCCAGTGGGTGCGTCTACATGTGCAAGTGCTGCAGAGTGGGTTTACTTTAGAGCAGGGGTGGGCAATTATTTTGGGTGGAGGGCCCCTTACTGAGTTTTGGCAAGCCATCGAGGGATGCATGATAGGCAGCCAGGGGCATATAAATATTAATTTTCTAAATTTTTTAGAGGCCCTGCAGGCCAGATAGAATGGCCTGGAGGGCTGCATCCGCTCCCCACCCCCGGGCCACATTTTGCCTACCCCCGCTCTAGAGTAAATAACTCTAGAGTAAACCTACCCAGGGAGGCTTTTACACATGTGAGGATTGGGGAGAAGATTTGCTACTCCTGGCTGCAGTCTGCTCCTGCCCCCTCTGACCCTACACCAGCCCTCTGCAGCATCCAGGGAGAGCTCTAGGCTCCCCCTGGGTGCTAGTCCAGGGGTTGGTAGGGAGCATGTGGCCAGGAGACAGCTGTATCCTGGTGGTGGCTGGGAGATTGCTCCCTGCCCCTGGAAGCTGCCTGCTGCTGGGGCAGGCTTGAGTTCGGTGAAGCCTAGGTGGGGACAATGTCCCCCTGCCCCGGCAGTAGGAAGCTCCCCACCCAATTAGATGATTGAGGCATGGGGCTTGGACAGAGCTGCATGGGAGGGGGAAGTCCCAGTCCCCTGCTCCAATCCATTGGTGGGGCAGCTACCAGCAAGCCCCTGGCTGGGCAGGGATTCCAGTGTGGGATTTCTCGCCCATCCAGCGGCTTGGTGCTAGCTGCCCAACTGGGGCAGGGGCTGGACCTGCCCCTCCCATGCAGCTCTTTCCAAGCCCTGCACTTCAATCACCTGATTGGGGCACAGGATTGGGACCTACCCCTGACTGGGAGAGTCCCAACTAGCCCTGGGCTGCATGGGGAAGTCTGCATGTGTAGCCTGGAGCTGGCTGGGGACTACCTGAAATCAGACAGTCCCCAGCCACCTCCAGGCTGCATGTGCAGACTTCCCTGTGCAACTTGGAGCTGGCCAAGAACTTTTATGATCAGGGGCAGGTCCCAGCCAGCTCCAGCCTGGGTGGGGAACTCTCCCCATGCAGTAAAATCCCAGCCCCTGCTCTGCGATTGCAGAGTTGGGGCTAAGAACAAGCTTCCAGCCTGTTCCCAGCCCCTGCTCCACAATCATGGAGCTCCTAGCCCCGGCTCCAAGCCCCAACTCTACGATCATGGAACAGGGGCTGGGAGCTCTCTGCTGCTAGGGCAGGGGGACATTGTCCCTGCCTGGGCTTTCGTGCTGGAGCCCACCCCAGCAGCAGACAGTTCCTGGGGGCAGAGAGCAATCTCCTGCCCTCTACTGCCTGGCTGACCAGGAGCAAATTTGCTCTGGTCAGCCATCTACACATGCTGTACTGTACCATAATTACTCAGCAGTTAATTTTTTACTTGCATTTGCAGGTAGCAAATTAACTGCCAAGTAGAGGAAATTACCATGCAGTATGGGTCAGCACGTGTATACAGTGATGCTTACTATGCAATAATTAGCTCTACTGCATAGTAAAGTATCTTGTGTAGATGTGCCCAGTGGACCAGGGGAATCTCTTAAAGTTAGAGAAGCAGAGAGAAAAATTGCCAGTCCTCTCTGATTAGCTTTCATCCACATCTAGTCAGATGCTCTAGAGCTAATGGGGAAGGTTTATTTTAATGCGCATGAGCACCCTACTCCTCTTGACTAGTAAAGTCAATGGAAAAGGTTACAAACAGACACTGTAAATTGTACAGTGGGAAGGTAAGCTGCTAGCAGCTCTTGACGGTTCTGTGTTCTGTCCCTTATATGAATTTTTGTAAGTTTTTACTTAGGCTCCTGGGAGCCTGAACTCTAGAATTCAAACCCCTTATTTAGGCATCTAAATAAAATTTCTCAGAGGTCCTAAGCAATTACATCTCTGAGAGGATTTTGGCATTTACTGACTTAGAAAACAAGATGACCCACTTTTGCTTAAGTGCCTCATTATGGGTTGTGGAGTCTGACTTTGGGTACTCAGCTTCCTATTGCTAGGAGAAGGGTACTGAGAAGCTGGGAGACAGTCAGATCTAGCAGAATCATGTAGGATAGCAGTCAACCTCAGACCTAGCTAGTCATAGTATTTGTTTTAGTAGTCAACAATCTCCACAAGTCAGTAGGCAATGATCAGTCTTCAGGAGCTGCTGACTTATCTATTGGATGCTGGTAGTCTGGATGAATTGGTCAGAAGAGAGACTCTTCATTTCTTGTGGACAGAGAGCTCACCATCTTCTATACTTATCAAGTTCAATGAGAGGTGAGGACACCAGACACCTCAGATCTGGGACCACCACTTTTAATTTGTAGTAATATTAGAGCCTTGTTACACATTGCACCATAAGCCACACAAGTGTTGATCAGCCTTACTGCTAGCTCGAGTTTGGAGCAGTCACACTTCAGGCCACCAGGGGCCTGGAAGACTGAATGGTAAGAATCCCCGCTGCTGCCACCTCCCATTCTGGGTTTCTCCCCTGCCTCCAAGCTCCTCCATTGCCCTTTGAGGTTCCCCCTGTACTCCCCCACCCCACACTTACTTGTGGCTGACTGCATTGTCTGTCCCAGGGTTAACCTGCCTGCCTGACCCCTGCCACATCTGCTGCTGGGCTGCTGCTCTTCTCCAGCCAGACCAAGCCCAGCCCAGGGAGCAGCAGTGGCATCAGTGTGGTGGGGGCGGGACAGTCAGGCAGGTTAACCCTTCCCTGCCTGTTCTCCCAGGACAGACAGCACAGGCAACCACAAGTAAGAGGATGGGGGTGGGGAACAGTGAGCAAGGAACTGGGGTGCTGGTGGGGAGGGTGTGGTGGGCCCAATCCAGGCCAGTGGGGGAGGAAGAGCAGATGGGGTGTTTACACTAACCTGTAGGCTAGATTGGATACAACTTAGTGTAAAATAAGCTGGGGAACACGAATAAGAAAGAACCCTGATGTGGTGTGGCATAACTCTGAATGCCTAACAAGGGCTTAAAATTAGTTTTAGGTGTTAATGTGCAGACAATCCAGGTGTTAAGAGCTCCAGGAGCTACCCAAAATTACTGTGTAACAAGGCCCTTAGACTGAATTTAATAGTATTAAGACTTTATTTTCAGACTAATGGCTGCAAAATACTCATTTGGAAAAACTGGCACAGTTAACAAATTCAGGGGCTTTTTCCCTTCTTTTTTTTTCTATAAATGCAACAGAAGAAATTGCATCCTTACTTTTACAAAGCTCATCCGGATAGTGCACATCTTGGTCAGCTCATACACCACCTCAAAGCCATGGTTGACTGACTGGGCAAGCAACTGAGCAAAGAGCTGGTTGTTGAAAATCTTGAGGCTGCAGCCACTGGGGATCTTGCACACAGTAGCTGGGTGGAATCCATGCTGATAGTTACAGTTGCGGCTCTGTACAAAAATGCTACTGTCGCTCACACATTCTGCATAAACCTCCCCGCCAACATAATAGAGGTGGACACCTTGAAAAGACAACAAACATTATTTCAGGACTGAACCATTTGACTGCTTTACTGGTGTACATGTACCAGCCTTATCATGCCTTCTACACAATTCTTACACTTCATCCTGATGTAAAGATGCATACGTTTCTTTCATAAAAGAGTAAAGCAGGCAGAGCTGGTAGCACAATCTGCAGAAGTATAGAGCTGAAATGTTAGAAAAAATCACCTGCAGCACTGAGCTGGTGGCAGGGAGGGGAGGAGCATGCTCAGAACAGGTAAACTCTTTTGAATCCCTAGTTGTAAAACTCCAGCAAGTTTCAAGCATGTGCTTATTCAAAGGCTTCTGGCATGGCTATCTTTGATACATCCTTGACACTAAAGACAACACCACCTCATCAAATTAAAAGTTCCTGCTACGAATCATGGGTAGCACAAGAGTTTCTCCAAAAAAAAAGTGGGGGGAGAAAATCAACATTTTTAGCATGGGCAAAACAATGCATTTTGCCTAAAAAAATGAATAATTTTGATTATTTTTTCCCAGATATAAACTTAGCCTGAAGCAGATACCTTGCATGGAAAAATTCAGCTCATAGACTTGAAGTTTGGCAATGATATATGAAACTGAAAACAATCTTAAAATGGGAAATGTTGGGCATTCATAATAGGTGTGCTACCAGTTCTGCCTATAATAACTGCACTCTTGAATTCCTAAAGTTAGGTGCCTAACTCCATATTTAGCCACATAAATAAGTGGCCTAATGTTCAGGGAAGCACAGCATACTCTGCTCTTGTTTCATTCTATAATTTCATAGAGTGACTTAAAGGGTGAATACCCCTGAAAATTAGCCAATTCCTCTGAAAATGTCCATATTCTAAATATGGATATAGGCAGCTAACGTTTTAGGCAATCCAGGGTGCAAATGCAGACTTTAATAATGTCATGTTTATTCTCAGGCTGGTAGCTTTGCAGTTGCTGTTCAAAGGGATGGACAATTTTGAATAAAGAGTAATAAGAAATAGAAATGCATCCACATGGTGTGATTGTGTTGAAGCATTGGAACGATTACTGTATGTTGGACTTGATGAGAATGTTCTATTTCCACTAAAATTCACATAAGCGATGAGCTAAATCTAGTAAAGTAGTTAAGTACCTAAAAGCATAGACCCTGAGTGCCTAATTTTAAGATGCCTGATCAGCAGAGTGGAACCCAGGCTCCCTGTATGCTGTGTGGAAAGACACAGTTGCCTGAGAATGGGATCCACAGACTGAGCTGGGAGCCAACAAGAGTGAGCCAAAAGGAAATGCTGAAGACTTAAAGAACAAGAGAGGCAGTGTCCACCATCTCTATGACAACCAAGAGCACTTCCTCAGGAATACCAGAGTTCAAATCTATATTTCCCACCTCCCAGGAAAGGGTCTAACCATTAGATAGAACAGTCCCTTGTCAAAGCTTGATTACTGTTTCTGTGTATTAAATATACGGTGACAGGCCTAAGAAAAGGAGATAGAAACCTCCTTCCCATATGAGTTCCCTAGCGAGAGTTGTGCTTGCTTTCTGTCTTTGGATTAACAAATGTTCTACTTCTTTTCTGTCATGATTTAAAAGGAGTGGAGAGTGCTTTTCCAATAAGCCTGGATAATAACCTAGTGGTTAGGGTACTGTCCCTGAAAAGTAGAAAAAGTGGGTTTGAACCCTTCCTGGAAGAGGTGGTAATTGACTGGGGCTCTGATTTCCTGTGCAAATGCTCTCTGACCACTAGGATGTCATCTTGGAACTAGTTTAACCCATGCTTCTCTGCAGAAGATTCATTTGATTTTTTTTATTTTTTATAACCGTTTGTCATCATCATCAATTTATGGTTTATGCATCATTGCCTATTCCAGCTTCAAAAGCTTTCAGACCACCATTTCCATCTGGTTTCTTCTTCTCTTGTAGACTGTAACAGAAATGTTTGACATATGTGAGCTACCAACCCCCCTGCACTATCCCCAACCTGGAGGACCAGAGGACCAAACCAGAGCCCCATTAGCTGACATTTTCACAGTTCCCTGGAGACCTTCATAGCACTTTAACAACATAGTGAATATTATTAGATGCACTGTAACTGGTATCTAGGCAACATTGATACTTGAGCAAAGCATTTACTGAATGGCCTTTCATTGTTATATCACTATGAATTGTGCGTAGACCAGAGGTGGAGCACTTTCATCCAGCCTGCAGGGCCCCCCAACAAGCTCTTTCCTACCCAGTCCAGCCCTTCTGCCCATGAGAGTGAGAACGAGGCATACACGTGTACAAGCAGTCCCCAAAATGTACCCTATTGAATGGCCGCTACCCTCATGGGCAGAAGGGCCTGGCTGGCCAGCATGCAGCTTCTGTGTGGGGCTGCTGCTGCTGCAGGCCCCAGGACCTGCTCACTTCCCTAGTCTCCTGCTGGCTTTGGGCAGCAGGTAGGGAAGCAACGGGGGTGGGGCTGCAGCCGGGAGACCAGAGCATGGGGCTGGGGCTGGTGGCAGCACAGAGCCTGCACCTATGAGGACAGGGGGCGGCAGCAGCATGGAGCTGGGATTGGCAGCGTGTGGGTAAGGGGGAGTGGGAGGTGTGGGGACCCCACACACTCCCCATTGCATGCAGCCCCAGCAGGCAGTGGCAGCAGCAGCAGCAGGCAGGGCACTCAGGATGCAGGTGCCTGGCGGAGTGCAGCTATGGGCAGCACTGCCCATTGCAGTGAGGGGCACAGGCTCTGTGTGGCTGCCTGTATTGCTAGTGCTCCCTGCCACTCACATGCAGCCCCTGCACTCACACAGCTGGGAGGAAAGCCCCACGTGCTGGAGCCAGGTGTCTTCCTTGCCAGGGCTGCGCATCAGTGACGTACCGTGGGTCTCCAGTGCCCAGGAGCCAATGCCTGCATTTGTGTCGCCCCCCAACCCCAGCCAGGGATGATCCGAGCAGGGTGCAGAGCCCCCTCTCCCCCTCCACAGCACTTCTATGCAGAAACTGACATTGCAGCATGCCAGGGGAGGGGTGGCGGCCAGAATTTCAGGCTGTAACAGGTAAAGAAACTTGCAACCCACTGAGTGGGAGGGTGGGCCATACACCAAAGGCAGGAGGCGCCATGGCCTCTGAGCCTAGCTGGCACCACCCTCACCCACCCGACTGCCGCCCAGAGGCCATGGCCCCCTCCTGCCTCCCCACTCCCACCACTTCAGTACACCACTGCTGCACAGCACCAGGGTAAAACTTCAGGCTCCAGAGCTAGCTGCCTTCCCTGCCTGGGGCTTCCCTCCCCTGTGGCATAGCCCCTGCAGGGAAGGCAGCCAGCTCCAGCACCTGAAGCTTCTTTCTAGTGCTGCACAGCCCTGGCAGGGAAGACACCTGGCTTCAGCATGTGGGACTTCCCTCTCTGCTGTGTGAATGCAGGTACTGCATGTGGGTAGCAGGGAGCACCGGCGATACAGGCAGCCGCACAGAGGCTGCGCTCCTTGCTGCAATGTGCAGCACTGGCCAGAGCTGTGCCCCACCAGCCGGCTGCATCCTGAGTGTGTGGGGTCCCCACATCCCCCAACCTCCCTCATACCTACACTCACACCCTGACCTACAACCCCCCCACATATACGTAACCCCCAACATACCCTATGCTCCCCATACAACCACATCCCCTCACAAACCCTACCACACACCCACCATACACACACCACACACCCTGTGGCAGGCCAGCAGGGGGCGATCCTGTGCTGAACCACCCACCTACCTCACCACCTACCAGGCTCCGAGTGCCTCCCTGGGGTGCCTCATGTCTAGCCAACCTCTTTCCCAGAGCATACCCATGAGCCTGGGGTCATGGCTGCCACCACTCAGGGTTCAGACTGTTCTTGGCCCTGTGCCTCCTGGGAAACACAGGCCTTGTAGTCCTAGAGGGTTTTCGACCCACTGCTAGGACTTGGGGTGCTTCCTTTAGCCTGAAGCTCAAATAGTGGTCTCCCTTAGTCAGCCGGACCAAGGGGACACAAAGGCATGGCCCTCTCCCTCTCTCAGCCAGTTCACTATGCTTAGAACAATGGAGAACATTATTGGTTACATGGAGTAGGTTTGGAGTAGGGTACAGGATAGGGACGTATCACAAAATAACCTTAGAGCAAACAGTGTGCCTCAGTATCCATTGATTACACATCTGCTGTACTGCAAACTATATATCTAGATAGATCTTAAGTAGCTTACTCACAAGTATTATCCAGAGGCTGGCTGCTTTTCTCTGGAGACAGGCAGTTTCTTGTGTGTTCAGTTTCAAGAGAGAGAGGGAGAGGGCTTGAGCGTTCTGCTTCCCCAGGAGCTTTAGGGCTCCAGCACAAAAGCTCTCTCTCTGCTTTACAGCGTGGCTCTCTCCAGCATGGCTCTGCCAAAAATGTCTCTCTAAGATGGCTCTCTCTCCTTCTTCCTGAGGATCCCTTTTATCCCCTATCGTGACCTCATCACTAAGGTCCCACCAGGAGCAGCCCCACTGGCTGCTGACTGGTATTTTCAGATGACCTAAGATTGAGCAGGCAAGGAAGCTAGTCACCTGACCTGCAGTGGCTGGAAACTTGAGACAAAGAGGAGCAGGTCCCTGACCCTGGAATGTCTCCAGCACTGTTATCATGGAGACCAAGTGCATCCAGAGTTTGTGATCAGTGGGTGACAGGCAGGGAGAAAGGTTGATTCCTCCACACACCCATACCACACACACCCATACACCACACACACATACCACGCATACCACACATACCACGCTTACATACCATGCACCCCCCACACACCGTGCACACATCACACGCACAAACCCTCCCCCCACAATATACAAAACTAAGAATTTATTTTTTAGTTATTATGCAATCTCCTCTATATTAGGCCTGTGCAAAGTGGCTAGTATTTGCTTCAGATACAAATTTGGCCGATGCAGGGGACTGTGATTCAATTTGGTGATTTGAATCACTGTCCCAAATTGATTTGGCCGAATCTGATTTAGAGATCTGGCCACCG